GAGAGCGAGCAAATGAGCAAGAGCACTAGCTAGGAGTCTAACAAGTTTATAGTCTATAGACTGACATAAAAACAACTGTATTTCAATGTGCTACACAGAGAGAGAGAGAGAGAGAGAGAGAGAGAGAGAGAGAGAGAGAGAGAGAAAGAGAGAGAGAGCAGATATGCTTGGACCTGAGAGAGAGAGTGCGGATATGCTTGGACCTGAACAAAAACATTAAGCTCTACATCTTCCTTTTATACGTCAGACTTTGTTTTGTCTCAATTTTCATTTCCTTCTTTATCTAAACTTTTGATAAACTCAAAATTTGTTATCTACTGATCATTTGAAAAAAAAAGATCTTCTTGTTTCTTAGTTGCCTGACGGCCACCTGTGTATCTCATGGTCTATGCCAGTATGTTCTTTCCTGTTGATTGTTGTTGTAGTCTAGTCCTAGGCTTGTAACATTTTAGTACTTGAAATATTCCCTGTGTCCTCCAGTGAATCTTAGCCAGTCTGTCCTGTTTTTCAGAGTTAATTTTCTAAAACTCAAAATTTAACCAGTACCTTGTTTAAGGGCTTGCACAGGCCTGCCGCAACCTAGTTCCTTTCTATCTGCTTCAGAATCATCCAGTCTTGTATGGCTGCTGTCATTTTTATCCTTTTGAAACTTCTCTTCCTTCTATGATTGTTGTTTTTTTGTCCTTTGTGTTCTCAAGTATTCTGGTCTCCCTATACTTTTCTTTGGCCCTTCCCAGCTATCTGTTACACTTTGATGTAGACTTACCCGTCTTGTTTACTAGCATAATCAACTTTGATGTATGACTTGTTCATCAAAGTATTGAAATATTTTCTGTTGCTATAGAATATTGTGATTTTACAAGCATAAATCCTTTTGGCATAAACTTTAGCAGGACCATTGATACTGTTTCATATCTGTATCATTTATTTTTTTGTTGCTGTGATAAATCACCAAGACTAAGGCAACTTATAGAAGGGAGAATTTATTTGGGCTTAGTTTCCAGAGGGATAAGAATCTATCATGGCAGCCAGAGGTGTGGTGGCTGGAGCAAGAAGCTGAGAGATCATCACATCCTCAGCTGAATCACAGAGCAGAGAGAGAGTTGAGGGAGAGGGAGAGGGAGAGAAAGAACTAGAAGTGGAGTGAGGCTATGGAATCTTAAAAGTCTGTATCCAGTGACATGCTTCTTCAAGCAAGGCTGCACCTCCTTAACCTTCTAAAGATCACTACCATCTGGGGACCAAGTGTTCAAATACATGAGCTTATGGAGGAGATTTCTCATTCAGACCACCATAGTATCGCCTAGAATTTTATTGGATTGAATGTCTTACTTCCCACATCATCAAATGAAGTCAATAACTCCTTACTTTTTTTTGATGAGTATTTATAGTTTATTTTGATAAATATAAGTCACATTCATCATTTGTATTACAGATGCCTCAAATTTTATTATCTGCAATAGGAATGTTTTATTAAACTTGCTGTCTAATGTAACCTGTAATGTAATCCTTTCTTAGAGGTTCTTAGGGAGGATTGCATGTGAGATTAAATATAGTTACAGTAGTTAAGAGTTTGCTCTAGAGATCTGGGGAAAGACAAGTGCTCATGGAAAATACTGTTCTTAGTTATCTCGTTGACTTCTGTGTGGTATTGGGAATTGGGTACTGGGAACTGAGCTTAGTCTTCAGCGTGCTGAACAAGTGTCTCCCATTTAATGAGCTATATTTACAGTATTTCTCACATTGAGGGCTTAAACATTGTGTGTGTGTGTGTGTACATATGTACATGTATCTGTATTTATGTAGCATGACAAATGTATGGAGGTCAGAGGACAGCTTGTGGGGAGTTAGTTCTTTCTATCACCTGAGTCTCGGGGAGGGAAATCTGGTTGTCAGGCTTGGCAGCAAGTGTCTTTACCGTCTGAGCCATCTCTCTGGTCCTCACAATGAGTTTTAAAAAATATTTCAATAATTAGAATACATCTGGTTTTAATTTTTTTAACTTTTAGGTGGAAGATGAAACTGTTTTACACAACATTCCTTATATGGGGGACGAAGTGCTAGATCAGGATGGCACTTTCATTGAAGAACTAATAAAAAATTATGATGGAAAAGTGCATGGAGACAGAGGTGAGCGATATGTATATTCTCTTGGGGGCTTTGCTAAAGACTCAAGATGCTTGGTTTCTTAAGCATAGGGTTTGTAAAAAAAATTTTTGTAATAAAATTAATTTTTGTGCTTGACTATGACGGACTAGCCTGGGCTTACAGGCCTACATTTTTAATGTTTCTTTATTATTTTCATGGGAGATCTTATTTGCCACTTGGTAACCATCAGTAACTGGTTATGAACTGTAGCAGCAACAACATGTAGATTTTATAGAACTGAGTGTGTGTATTTGGTAAGTGTTAAATAAATAGTAAAATTAACTAGGTTTAAGGTTCTATTTATGGGATGTGTACTTCAGAAAGCCTCCCTGCTCAAAAATGCCTTTCTTCAGGGCTGCCATAGCTCCTGAAATGGAGTCAGCAGAATCCTGGATTCAGGTTTCTGTGTACAGGAAACTCTCTTGATGGTTGAGAGAAGGGAGATGTGGTCATATTTAGTGGAAAACAAGGTTTGAAGTAGCCAGTCAGTGACACAGACTGGGAGAAGGCTAAAGCCACAGGTCCTTGAAGATTAGGCGAGTAGTGGGCCCTGGACCATTTTGGGATGGAGTGATTCCTAGGAAAGCAACAGGTACTAAAGATAAATGCTGTTTTCTTTGCTGGCTGTGAAATGATCTTACTGGCCTCATTTGCCCGTCATGTTACCGTACTGTGATGATAGGCCATGGCTGCTCTTCCAGATTAGGAAACACATACACAAACTTTTGTCTTTACACTTTCCCCTCTGTTTCTGACTGACTTTCAGAATGTGGATTTATAAATGATGAAATTTTTGTGGAGTTGGTAAATGCTCTTAGTCAATATAACGATGATGACGATGATGATGATGGCGATGATCCTGATGAAAGAGAAGACAAACAGAAAGACCTAGAGGACAGTCAAGATGGTATGTTGAAAACTGGTTTTTTATATGGGCCTTACATTATTCTTTTTTTTTAAAAAAAAAGTGTGGAGCCAGTGATGGCTCAGTGGTAACAGTGCTTACCATCCATCCAGCCTGATGAATTCAGTGTGATCCCTGGGACCTACACTGTGGAAGAGAAGAACTGACTCCTAGGTTGCTCTTTTATCTTCACATGAGTGCACACTGTGGCATATATCCACCCATACACATACATGTAATAAATGTAAAAAACACCCCACGTGTGGGCAGAATGTAATCCCCCCTTTCTCTTGTTAAATGTTTTATCTTAGTAGTATGGTCAAATATATTCTCTGCAGCACTTCATTCTCCACTGGAGCTTTTTGGTTTTCTTTGCCCAGCAGAGGAACATGATCCTTCTTGGGCTTTGCTGAGCAATCATCATAATCATCTTTATAATAACATCATGTATTATGTATATTGTATGCTAACTTCATAGGCACCAGTCACTTCTCCTTCCACAGCTCTATAATGTAGGGGTTGCTGTCAGATCCATTATAGATTGGAAATGGGTTTAAGGAGGCTTGAAAGCTCAGAACTTACTGAAGAGTGCAATATTGGGAAGAAGTAGAGGCCCGAGCTCCAAGATCATGACCGAGGCCTGACTTCAGAGCTCTAGTATTGTGTGGATTATTAGAAACCAGTCCATCCTGTGGCAGAGCCCATCATGCTGCTGTCCTCTGCTCAACAAGCCTAGTATTAAGGCAGCATAGTAGAATTTAGGGGAGAATTGCAATTTCAAAAGGCATGTATTCTTTATAACTCACCTTAGGGGTCAACTGGATGATTGCAAAGTTCTGCCATGCTACTGGCAGATCTGAAGATGGGTTAGTGATCATCTCTGACACAAAGTTGCTAATAATCAAAATTGGGGGGTTCTGTCTTCCAGTGCTCTTAAAACGTCTCAGATTTGAATTTCATGTTTTTTTTTTTTTTTTTTTTTTTTTTTTT